CACCCTTTTTTTTGGATGTAGTTAATCTGCAATAATACCAGACTAGCTAGAGCCTAGACCCTAGACACAGTAGACTTCCACCTGGTTCGATATGGAGCTAGGTAGGCATTTCATGATTTCAAGTCTGACTGTCTGACTGTCTGAGACTGAACTTATATTTTTCCATAGCTTTATCTAGTCTGTTCTTGAACGCCTTCATACTTGGAGCGCCAACAACTTAATTGCTAGGAATTGGAGACTATGGAGAGCCAGGAGAGGCTGTTACAATATTTTCTGGGTGTATTTTCTCTAACTTTAAAACAATTTGTACAAATAGGTAACTTTTGCAACTAGGGTAAATTTAAACTTGTTAATGCTTAACTTAAGAATGCTGACTATTTTGAATGTGCAGTTAATGGAAAATTACTATCTCAAAGACTCAATTCATTGTACCTAAATTTTACAGAGTTGTTTGGGACTTTGGGTGTAGAAACCTTATTGACAAAAAGTTGAATGCCTGTAAAATATATATATTCTCTGCTTTCTAAGGCACAAAGTAAATTTATAGAAGACAAACTCTTTGTACCTAATGGTTTTGTCCTTTATCTTCCATATTATTTCTAGCTTTTCCTTTGCATAAAATCAATGTTCATTACTAACATTAAAAAGTACCGTTAATTGGGGTGACTTCGGCCAACATTTATGATTTTGTTCTGCGTCCATTTGTTTATGTTGTAGTTGTGTTAGGTTATTGGAACAAAATGATATCCAATGTAGTTTTTCCTTATCTTAGTTATCTATCAATTGGAAACTGTTTTGTTTCATTAATTTTTTTATGTCATGCTTGATCAACACAATCTGAATGCCAAAGTACCCTACTGTAAAGAAAAAAAGCTAAGTGCAAATTTCAATATTTTGAAATACAAAAAAAAAAAAAATTGGAACCAGATTTGTTTCACTTATTTTGGTATCTTCCATAATGATTATATCAATGGCTATATATTTTTCACCAAATGTGATATATACCTATGCTTGAAAAATTAGCTGCTCCAAGTCACACTGTCACCCCATACCCATAGTAGCCTATATGGGCTAAATGGGGTGACTTTGGCCAGCCAATAAATGTTTAGAATAATGTATTTTTCTTCTTTTTCAGACAATATGCACAGTTATAAATGTAAATTAGATTCTGGATATATTTATATATATATATATATTTCCATATAGGATATATTCAGAGGAGTTGTTTAGGAGACTTAGGAGAGCATTGCAATTGATAGGAGATAGTGTTAGCCAAAGAGAAGCTGCTAACATTTGCAAAGTCCCATGTTCAACTTTGAGCGACCGATGTGCTGGCCACAGCCGTCATGTAAAAAATTTAGGACAGTCTACTCTTTCACCTACAGTGGTGTCAGATTTAGTATCCTAGATTATTCCAACTGGGGCTTCTTATTAGATGGTATGGATCTGCGTTTTTTGGTTAAAAATTACCTTGACAAACAGGGTTGTTCTTTATGTAAGTTCAAGGGTCCCACCTCTATCAAGCATCATCAGTTTTTTGAAGAATGTTCCAGATCCCATGGGGACTAGATTTTGCAAACTTTCATGTCCAGCTGCCATTAAAATCAACAAAAAGCTGCCTTAATGAAGCATATGATTCACAAATGTGAGTCCTTATCTTTGTGTTTCAATTTTTATAATACACAGTGGCATTGATTATCATTTTTAAAACACCCTACTTGGCCGATGTCACCCCGCTATTAGTTGAATTTGGCCATGAAATCATTTTTACTACATTTGTACTGTGTTTAATAATTCAAAATAAACATGACATGTGGCCGAAGTCATCCCATCACTGGGTGACATTGGCCACCCAGCTAATTTAAAAAAAAATTATTGAATAATAAAAGTGACATAATTTAGACATGACATATTTAAAGAAAAACATTTCAGTAATATATTTACAAATTTACAATCCCCAGCAACACCTCATTCCTATTTTGTAGGAATTTGATTGGCGGAAACTAGTGTAATTTGGCCAAAGTCACCCCAGTTAATAGTAGCAAGAAATCGTTAGAAGAAGCTGCAATCACTTTAAATTAGGAGATGAGAAAACAGATGTGTAAAGTTGTTTTAAACAAAGGTTTTATATCATGAACTTATTTCACCAGGAATAGCTGTGTGAGCAAACAAAATATGTGTTGTATTCAATAATAACTTTCGTAATTCAGATTTAATTTCATATTATTAGGAATCAATTGAAAATGTGTAATTTACATTTTTCAGTTGCACATAGATGTCTAGATTTAGTCTATTTTATGTGCACTGAAAATTTTTAGCTGAAACTTTATGCATTAACTCTGATACCTCTGGGTTCTAGCTTGTGATAAGTTGGTATGAATTTTTGTATTTTGATTAAGTTGGCAAGTTATATATATGGTTGTAGGATTGGAATTTTCCTACTCGTTCCTGAAATCTCGCAGCTCCAACCTAACAAATTTTTAATACATTTGGAATCTCACGGCCCGATTGTGCACTTTTATTAACAATTGAGATAGGAGGTAGTTCATCTGGCAGAAATCTTGCGGTTCTGGATGGAAATGGCAGGAAAGCTCCAGTCATGACCCTTTAGGTAGATGTTTTCCATGCTTGTATAATGGTGGCATGGGCAGTTCAATGGGAAATGGTTTTTATTTAAACCCAAGATTACATCATCATGTACTTTAAGGTTAGGTTCACCGTTCTCATCACTAAGTATGATTAGGTTATAGAAATTTAACAATTGACGATTAGTTTGATTATTATAATTTTATTGATTGAGCGGCAATTACTTCAATTTATTCAGGTTGTGACATAGCATCTCAAGCTTTTCTTGGAGTATTTGCTTATAAAAGTTCTTGTATGAAATAGGTTACAGCAAAAATTTTACAGAATGAAGGTTGCAATGAAGCCAATCTTCAACTGTGCAGCTCATATAACATAACCTAAGCATGGTGTCAAGGCTGTGGGATTTGAAAGATTCTAAACCCCACAATAGAGAAGGCAAAGTACATTGAGAGGTTTAAATTGATAGTATATGATAATTTAGTTTTAATTGTACAAAAATTTTTAGTTAGATGATAAGTTTTTTTGTTAATGTTTGCATTTTAGACTTCTTGCTACTTTGCATTATTTTGTTTGAGAAGAACTTGTATTCTTTCTTGTGCAATAGTGATGTGGCAGCAACAAATTATTATTTCCAATGTCTCAAAGAATTGTTCTCTGTAGTGTCTCTTCTAAAGCCTAAGACACTGCAAACGCAACCTGACCAAATTAAAGCAATTGACGATCAATGATAAAATTGTAACAATGAAACTAATACTCAATCAATTAAATAAAACCTAATCAACTAAACCATTTCACAAACTCCAATTGTCACAGAACATGAGAATGAGGTTAAAATCTACAAAAAATGCACTACCTAGACACAAGCAAGAGTTTCTCAAGAGTTCAAGTGTAAGCCTGCAAGGTTTCATTTTAATGCATTTTAAATTTTTTGGTCAGTGTGATCTGGATAACCAGTCACAAAAATGTCTGATTACTGAATAATGAGCTGCCATATTACTTAGGGATAAAGCTGAAATTGAAAGAGATAAGTCATGATCTAAACACTTGCAAAAGGTTCAAATCAGTTTTGGCTTGTGATTTTACAATGATCTGTTCAGCAATCAAAAGAATTAATTAGGCACTGCAATTTCTGACAAGTATAGCCTTATGACTTGTGCAATAATATGCACTTGTGTTACCTTGCACTTGTGTTACCTTGCACTTGTGTTACCTTGCACTTGTGTTACCTTGCACTTGTGTTACAAAACCCTTCACCTGCCTGATAATGTATGTTGTATATTCGAAATGTTGCATTCCATTAAAATGTCATTTGGTAACCTGCTTTTTGATCTTGCGCTTTATTATGTATGAAAATATTAACTTTTAATGTAAAACATGTTTTTTGGTATTGTTTTAAAATTCTTTATAGATATATATTTTTTTGTTTTTACAAATGTTGATCATATGAGAATAGCGGTTATATGTTAGAATGCATTATAATCACAAATGTGTATAATGAACATTTTGAAATTTAGTATGGATGATGTTTATCAAGGTATTTGGAATAAATTGCTCTCATTAACATGATTTTTATGTAATTCATCATCAGTGAATGTGTCATGAGAAAATTGTTGACTGTTGAAGTGAATCTGTTTATGTGCCATCCCCACAACAAATGTGAATGGGTATTTTATTTTAAAAATTGGTATTTTTTATTTTATTTATGTGTCAGGTATACTAGTTCACATATTCTGCTGTAGAATCCCATGCATCATTTATTGGGCGGAACCATTCTCCCAACTCTCCCCAAGCCAGACGAGTCAAATGTTGCTGAATGCTTGATGACTCCTGGCTAAGTTAATATTGTAAATTTTTTATGCAAATCCCTTAGTGAAATTGTCTTGTTGGATGCCAGATTTGCTTGTAGGTTTTCAATTCCTTTGCATTGCTAACTGATGTTATATGAAGTATTTTCTGATGTGCAGATATGCTACATTGCTTCTGTGGTGCTGCAGTTTGTGCTACAAAATTAATGAATTTATTTATGGACTAATATTGATGCAATGTGCATCATTAACTTCTGGCAGTTTGATGAGCAATTTTAAATCCTTTCAGCCATGACTAGCTTGCTCAAGGAAACATATTCATCTGCTGAATTGTTTGACAATGGTAAGTTGGCTAGGTAGCATCTTGATAAGGGCTATTATTTTTTCTTTGAAGTTGACTTTCAAATGAGGCATCATTAATTATGTGGGTAAATGCTAAAGCTTCATCAAGTTGCAGGACTTGTGCAATGGCATCCTACAAATAATTTTACTGTCTTCAACTGCTACCGTACAATATATTACTTGAGTTTAACTATTCCCTCTTAAGGTCATTTGATTACTTGAATTGTAAATTAAACGAGGAATTTGCTGCCAAAGAAATTTTTTACAGATTTACAATTTTTTAATGAAAATGAATCAGAGACCATCTCCATTCAAATGAATAATTTTGAATGTTGAAGTTTACCATTAAAATATGAAACCTAAACTGGCAGGACAAATTATGAGCTAAAAATTACTATATATCACTCACAAAAGATGTATTACTTGCTTATTCATTTCATTCATTATTGGCATTATCTGTTGGGAATTATGTAGAATTAATTATGTATGTTGAAACCAGTCAAATCAGATATCTCATAATTTTTTTAGTACTAGTTGAGGTATTTTTATTATTGACGTGGCAAATCTTTTTTTTTTTTATCTGGAGTGTATTTTGAATTAAACAATATTGATATGTGATATTTTTATATTAAAACAAATCTGTCTTACTCAAACTGGTATTTTGCTACTCTGAGCATATTTGTAGAAATTCTATGATACGGTATTTTCAGCTTTTTTCTCTTGAAAGATCTAAATAACATTTTTTTAATTAGGGTATTTCTAAAGTTGCTTTCATCAGTGCTTAACTTTTGATATTTCCCTACTTTTAGATGGCATCACCTGGACTACAGTCATCAAGGAAGAAAAGTCTATTGTTGCAGAAATTCTTGAAACTTTTGATGGAGTTGATGATGGTATCATCGAGCTCAGTGTCACAGATGACTGCCAAATCATCAGCTCGCATATTCAAGAACCAACAACATCCATCAAGAGAGAAGCCGATGATATCATTTCCATCAACAATTCCAGTGATTTTGTTGAGTTCAAAAGTGAAATTCCTGGTCTTGAGAACCACGATATAGATTGGGATAGTCAAATGAACCAAGGTTTAGGAGGCAAGGTGTCAAATAGGGCTAAAAGTCTCACTAAGAGTGGCTTATTGAGAAAAGTTGGCTATAAAAAATCAAAAGCAAAAAAATTATTGAGCAGTGCCAAACCGCATAATAATAGTTACAACGATGATTCATACCTTATGAAGATTGCGTCTCAGAAAGAACATTATGATCATTTTCTGTTCAGTCATATTAGTGAAGAAACAAACTCTGAAGATCAAATGATTACCGTGGTAGCAGACGATAGCAGTGAGAGTGACTTGCAATACTTTGAGACGTGTGAACTTACTGACAATGGTGACGGCATGCAGTCCTCCTTGCAGATCGAGTATGGTTCAGGGGTGGACATTTACGAGAGTGTTGAGGCTTATGACAGTGACACTGAATTCAAGGAGCCAAAGTCAAAGCGCCGAGTTTCAAAAGGTGTTAGGACACGATGCAACAGGTGTGCCATGCAGTTTTCCTCAAGAAGTGAGCTGGTACATCACCGTAAGCTCATCCACCGTAATACTTTTACCTGTGATTTATGTGGTGCTGTGTACAAGAGCGCATTCAAGTACCACTGCCATATGGGTGGTCATGATAATAGGTTCACTTGTGGGCAATGCAAGCGCACATTCCAGCGCATCACAGGCTTCAAGAAGCACATGCGCTACTGTCATAAAGTGGCCAACCCGAACATTTGTGTGGTGTGTGGCTTGTGCCTCACGAGCTTCGCTGGTTTAGACACTCACATCAGAGAGGAACACCCTGATGATTACAGACTAATCCATTCTTTCTTCAAGCAATGCACTCACTGTAGGTATCAATTCATGACGGAGTTGTCGTACCTCAATCACATCAAGAGTGCACCCTACACTTGTTCCGAGTGCCATTTAAATTTTGAATGCAATAATAAGTTGAGCAGCCACATGAGCTTCAAGCACAAGCCTCAAGTTTGTGCTCGTTGTGGCAAGGAGTTTGATGCTTTCGATCAGTACACCTACCACGTCCGCTACCATCACACAGACAAACACATCAAGTGTCCTTACTGCGAAGAAAGGTTCCGCGTGCGGTCGCGACTGCTCATACACATCGACGTCAACCACACTGACGGCCATAACTATAAGTGCAATCACTGCGATTACACCGCCAAAAATTATGCTTCTGTAAATAGACACCGTCGTATTGCCCACATGCCGAAAAGCGAGACGCACAAAAACGTGTGCGAAATCTGCGGCAAGTCTTTCCTAGTTCTATCCCGTCTGAAGGTCCATATGAAATCTCACTCTGACGCCAAGCCGTACGTGTGTACAGTGTGTGGACGAGGCTATAAGTTTCAGTATTTACTTAAAAGACATCATCGTAACCCTGACATTTGTTTGCGAGTCTTATTCCCTAACGGAACGAGACTGGAGAGGAAAGGAAGGCGAAGGTGTGACATGTGCCAAATAGACTTCGGGTCTCCTGACGAGCTCGCCATACATATGGTACAGGTGCACAAAGTAAAGATAGAAACCAAGGAGGTCAGAGAAGATGATATGATTATTGACGAATCTGATCAAGAAGTCATCGTGGAAGACAAAATGACCATTCAATTGAAGGTTGACAGCGAATCACGTGATCTCTTGGAGCCTAGTAATGTCATACGTGTAACCGATGAAGAAAATTTGATTGAAACTGAAGAGGTAGATCAAAAAGAATTCTCTAAGACTGAAGATCAAACTGTTGACTCAAGAGACAGCTATGTGTCAGATATACCGCATGTGGAAACACACATACGATCGAGCAGTAGCGATCAAGAGGGCAGCAATGATCAAGAAAGTGCTTCTTTCGCACTGCTATCCAAGTCATGTATGGAGAGTGAGAATGTGAAGTACAGAAGAAACAAATCTCAGCAAGACCAGCAAAATCTCGACAATTATTCTGTTTCTAACTCCGGAGAATTAAAAAGACCGACGCATAACACTAATGTACATCGGCATCGCCTGGCTGAGACACAAAAAATTCGAGGAAGAAGAAAATTATCTGCCACGTAGGCTGTCAGGCGAATGCTAGTTGAGCGATATCTCGGTTTCTGATAAAGTTTTTCTAATGATGTAAAGTGCTTAAAAAGAATACGTGTATTTTAAATGCGTTAATACTCCTGTTCCGCATTTTTTTCATTAAGTGTGTTCTAGAAATAGTTCTCCTAGTCTTAAATTAGCCACCGAGGACGCATGGATTTGTATTCGTCAGCCATCTGGCGTGTCTCACATGTGAAATATTAATATTATTCCACTATAAGAATCATAATTACTGAATTAGGAATGACTAATTTACTCTAAATTAGCAGGTCAGTATCAGTATTGTTTCTGTGCTTGAAAACTATGCGATCAGAACGTCATTTGCTTTGTCAAGTTAGCATTTCCCGACTCAACAGCACAGTTACAATTACATCCACATTTACCCACTAAGACTCTCTTATACCCAGAAATTACATGCTCTTATGCCTGGGCAGTACATACACTCTTACTCCATGCATTATACCCTCCTATTACATGTGCTTACACTCTCCTATTACATGCGCCTATACCCCAAAACCTTGATGGCAGATTTTATTGCGTAATTTTTATACTAGATTTTGCTCTATGCATGTTTCTGTCTCATTTATTGTGGACACTTCTTGCCAATGTTTAACATACACGAGTTGATCGAGTTGAGGAGTGGAAGATGCCTTCAAATGTTTGGTGCGCTAATACCGTAGTACAGCTGTTTGAACGCGAAGATAAATCACTATATCTGCTTTATGGGTCCTTCAGTTTGATTGTTTTTCTCTTTATCAGTACTTAACCTTCTATTAATACATTTTTAACTATTTTTGTCTTCATTTTTCTCATGGATTTAATGGTCAATTTGACTGATGTCAAAACACATTGATATCATCGATTGTACGCCTCACTCGAGAGAATTTTATTGTCGTTTATCTTGACTGCTTGTTGCTATAGTTGAAATAGCGTTCTCTTAACGGAAGTACCGGTATTCAATTTCTGTAACGGCATTAACCTTCAGTAGTGAAATAGTAAAACGCATGAAATATTTTTTTCTTTGAGCTCTAATGATGCAATCGGTTGATGACTTGATGCACATGGAACACTTGTGATCGAATTTTATTCGAGAACGTCCTCTTTCCATGGGATAATGAGCACTTCCGTCATACAAATCGTCAAGAAGGCAAGATTTTATCAGCCTCACAGGTGTCGTTTACCACGATGATGCAGAAATTGAAACATTGACGGGTATCTAGAATACTATATACTTGCCTTCCAGGACAGAACCCGCTTTCTCAAAACATCCTGCACTTGGTGTGTAAATTTTAGGTTGTATACTGAGCCAAGGCAAATCGAAGGGGTTAAACAGTATACTAATTGTTAGCATTTATTAAAATTTTAATTTACAGCGGTTATGCATGAAATAGTTGCTAGCGAGTGGAACTGAACTCTTATGTGTGCTGTAATGCTTAATAAAACGTAATTATCGGCATTAAAACACCAGCAATATCTCGTTTGTATTCCAGATTTATATTGGTACACTTGCACGACTGACATTACCGAACCAAACGGTGCATTTGTACTTACGTCGCGGGTGATTTGAATCGTTACAGTTGCGTTCCTCGAGATATTAAAGAAACTGATTCGACTATAATGTGAAGCGCACATAATGAAACTTTCAATTTGAAGCGAGTAGTTTGGTTTCGGTAACTTGAAGTGACGAGATAAATTTTAGCGCAAACAGACTTTGTCAGTAGACCAAATTTTGAATAATTTCCGGTATAATTCAATGAATAATGCCTTTCTCAGGCGTTTATTTCTTACGACCTCCTCTTTCTTTCAATTGCATCTGCACGATGCAGTTGGGCCCAATGTTGTAGTAGGCGAGGGTCAAAGAATCTTTGAAGAACATGCCATCCTTGACGAGCTTCTGTTTGGCTGGCGGGACTCCCGTCTGCGCGTGCACGAAAGACTTGAGCGCCGACACGTTCTCGGCGAGACTGAAGGCGGCCGCCAGCGTCTGGCCGTTGAGTTGCCACTCCGTCTTGTCGGCGACTTCTGGCATGACGACGCGGAACTTGACGATGCCGGGGTACCGTCGGCCCCACTCCGACACTGAGATGAGAGATTCCTCAGTGCGAGCCCTCTTGGCCGAGGGACCTTCATCGTCATCATCCGCTCCTCCAACGCCTCCTGATGGAACCATGTTCCCCGGAACACTCATGTTTGCTGTGGCACCCATATTCCCTGGAGCACCCATATTCCCTGGAGCGCCCATGTTCCCGGATCCACCCATGCCGATGGGTGGCCCGGGGCGTTGTTGCATGAACCCTCCCATTGGCCCGGGCCCAGGCATGAAACCGGGTCTCATCATCACGGGGGGCCTGGGAACCATCATCACGCCAGGGTTAGGGTGCATCATGGGGGGCATGGGTCCACCGAACTGCATGCGCATCATGGGTTGCTGCATCCCTTGTGGGTTACCCTGCATTGGCCCCATCGTCATGGGCGTCATGTTGGCCGTGGTGCCCATGTTTGTCTGAGGAGGCGGCGGTGCGGGTGGTCGCTGTATCCCTGGTGTAGGTCCAGTTCCTGGAGGACCGGGAGGTGGGGGAGGCTGGGGCCTCGCTTGAGGAGGCGGTGGAGGAGGCGGGTTTGCAGGGGGAGGAGGTTGAGGGGTTGGTGGAGGAGGGAGAGGAGGTTGCTTTTGTGGCGGTGGTGGGGGAGGTTTAGGACCAGTATTCCCTTCCAATGTTTTAGGTTTCGGACCAATCTTCTCTTTCTCTTCATCAGGTAACAAACCCTTAACTTGATGAATCTGCCGAATCTGTTCGTTGATTGAGATGTTGGCTCGAGCAGCCCGGGTTGCGGACTCCATGGACGCAGTGTGTCCATCCCACGTGACTTTTTCGGGCTCTTTTCTCTCCTCTTCTCCGATCTTACGACCAATGATTGTTTCCTCATCTCCAGCACCGAAAATATCTGTACGCCGCTCAGCCAGCAACTTGAGCGATGACCGCACTGAGTCGCCAGCAGCAAAGACGTTGTCTTGAGACGAGGATTCTTTTTCCTGCTTTTTCTTCGTCTCAAGCCACCTGGGATCAAGCATATTAATCTTGAGATGCTGGTCCACCTTTTCTGGAGCAATGCGTTCTCCTGTGATGGGCGATACGAGGAAACGATCGGATGAACGCGCCTCTTTGGCTCGTTCTTGTTTGGGGTCATAGTCCCTGACGATGACCTGACTTGGCTTGGGCGGTTCAGGTGCAGGCTGTGCTGGTTGTGACACAGGCAAGGGAGGAGGCATTCTCCTGGCATCGTCAGTCGGTGGAGGAGGCGGTGAGGCGGCTTTGCTCTTGTCATCGTCACTGTCGGATTCGTCTTCATCATCGGAATCATCACTGCTACTGCTACTCTCCTCCTCCATGTCCTGCACCTGCGTGTCGTCCTGCTCTCCTGGAGCTCCGCGACCGTTCGGAGCGTCACCTTCCTCTTCCTCGTCGCTACCCAAGACCATGTCAGAGTCTGGAGGAAGCCCTTCGTCCATCCGGTCCTGTGCCAACACACGTCGACCCACCTCCGAAGGTGTGGTGGGTGGCGGAAATGTGCCCACTTCCCAAGGCTGGTAGTCTATAGTCTCCACAACTGAGAACCCATGCCAGTCAATCGAGGCGTACTCCAGACGCTCTTTCTCGAGCGCTTCTTCATGCTTCTTTTTGAGCGCTGCTTGGTGGCGAGCCCAATCCAATCGCGCTTGCACCTGAGAAGGAGATGTGAGGTCAACTATAGAATAACTAACTGCGACTTCCCTTCATGCAGTAAATTATTCAATGGACCCGGCACTGCAACGAAATTAATCTCAAGTCTGTCGGATTCATCATAAATTATTATCTTAACAATATACAGGAGTGCATAAATGGGTCGTAAGCAGGCTTGTCATACCATCGTGTAAACAAAAAATAACAGAACATTTTGAACAGATGTGAAGAGAACAGATTATTTTTTCAAATTACGACGCCATCACGATTTGTGGACAATTTCGAGCCAATGAGGTCTGAGGTCAGGTAGGGGATCATATTTAATAGATGATATTTTACACATTACTTTTTTCATGAATCATTATAATTCATTTTTAAAAATATATACTACATTTAAAGAACAATATACTACCCTAACTGCTCGCTGAGTAATGAAGTTGGCAAATTTGAATGTAAACACAATCAAAGCTATTTATCATTGTAATGAGCCCTCACCTGCTTGTAGACTTCCTTGCTAGACTCGGCTTCTTTAGCAAGTTTTTTGAGGAGATCTTTGGGCGGAATGAGGACCTTGGTGTACTGCTCGAGCAGCTTCGTGAAGTACTGGAAGAGCGAGTGTTGGGGGCGCAGGAAGTCGAACTGAGGGTTGCGCTGCTCTCTGTTCATAAGCGTCGTAAGGAACTGGCGGCCGTTGCGGGCTACAAACTGAGCCGTCAGCCGCACCTGTGCCAGTAATTAGTCAATTTCTAGTGGTAATTTGTGAGTATAAATGTGCTTAATAGAAAGGTAATTTTTAAAAATTAGTACCCTTCGTTTCATACTTAGTATAAATCAATAGTTACTCAACACAAATAAATCTATAGATATTTTAATTTAGAACAAACGAAAATTGATGATAGATACTAGTCGCGAGATATCGTATATGGTTATAAAACGTTTTATTTACTCAACACATAAAAATAAAATAACATTGAATGACTTGGCAGACGAGAAGTTGGCATAGCGAATTAGAAGAGCACTGCAAGTTTTTCGTCTCATTTCATACTTTGAAAGTAATCGAAAAGAGATTACTTACAAATAATGCAACTTCAGCACAAAGTACCACAGCCGAATAAAAAATAACAAAAATTGCAAATAGCAGCTTCATAAGACTTAAATATACAGAAGGTAATTAAAAGCAACTGAAAATGTCTGATAATAATTAAAATATTATGATTGACTTCGGACATAACGTTTAACGTGACGCTTTCGATCTTGATAAAAATCAAGCATACTAAATGTTTGTAGTATTTGCAGATAGGAAAAATATCTTGGAAATATTCAATACAACTGGAAGTACTTTAGGAAAAAATTTAAAAATGTCAAAAAGTTAACTCGGCACATGATATCTAGAGATGCTAAGAAGAATTAGCATTTCTCTCACAGGAAGATGTTTGTCAAAACCACGGTAATGTTTCCAAAAATGTACAGACCATTTCACGTCATTTGAAATTAAAAAAAAACATCAAGCAAATTTATCAAAACTTCAATATATCAAATATATATATCATAATATATCAAATTATCAAAAACATCATCAATATATCTCAATAATACAAGGAAAATCTTGCTAACATAGTGTCAGGTTCAGTATCATTTTAATTATGAAAATTTCAATAGGTATTAGAAAAACAAAATAACTGGTAAAACAAAAGCTTGAGAGTAGTTATCATGGCAGTCTGACCACGTCAAGATCATAGCTGGAGATGCTGGGTGGGTCAGCAATGAACTCGAAGTCCGGTGGTGGTTCCTTGGGCGGCTCCTTGGCTGGAGCAGCGCTCTCCTGCACCACGGAGCGCAGCAGCTCCTGCTGCTTCTGCTGCTGCGCCGCCGACACCAGCGTGCGCGTTGGGGGCTCCTTGCCTGTAATACAGCAGCGTTAAGAGATCTGATGATGGTGAACTAGTAAGCTGACAGACGGTGCACTAGTAAGTTGACAGACGGTGCAATAGTAAGTTGACAGACGGTGCACTAGTAAGCTGACAGACGGTGCACTAGTAAGCTGACAGACGGTGCACTAGTAAGCTGACAGACGGTGCACTAGTAAGCTGACAGATGGTGCGCTAGTAAGCTGACAGACGGTGCACTAGTAGGCTGACAGACGGTGCAATAGTAGGCTGACAGACGGTGCAATAGTAAGCTGACAGACGGTGCACTAGTAAGTTGACAGACGGTGCAATAGTAAGCTGACAGACGGTGCAATAGTAAGCTGACAGACGGTGCAATAGTAAGTTGAAAGACGGTGCAATAGTAAGTTGACAAATGGTACTTCAGTGCTTTGACAAATGGCGCACAAGTGGCTGAATGTGACGAACTTTAGGGATCTTTCCTAATTCTTAAATTTATCCAGTACATAACTCATGCCAGCAATCATAACTTGAATTGAAACCTTTATAAAAAATACAAAATAAATTCACAGCCCAAGAGATAACGTATTACTATTGGCTCAGGGAGATAATTATTAAATTTAAATAAAAACAAATGCAGGGAGAAAGAGAGCGTAAAACATACTTTGAAGGATGAAGATATATGATCAAAGGCACGTTTAAGAAAAATTTACTCAGATGTGCATTCTTCATTTTTGAAAAAATGTTGATCATTTCAGGAATTTTGCACAGCAAGAACTACCCATCCATATGGGAAAAGTATTTCCTCCTTTTGATGTGATCTACTCGAACGTAATTTTATGCTTCATCAATTCATTTTTACTTGAGTGATTTACACTAAAACTGGAGCTATTGACATTCAGAACATTGGCTATGAATGAATGGTTATAAATCTACTGACAATTGTAGTAGGAAGTTTGCTCAATGATTTACAAAAATGTTGAATCAATTATGTAGAGAATACAATGGAACATGCCATACTTAATAATGCAACGAATTCCATCATTCCATGTCAGACTTTGCAGGTAGTAGTAAAAAATTGTAGGTAGCAATGTATCTGCACAATCTTAGTGTTTAGGACTATGTAGCAATGTATCTGCAAGAAACTGTGAACACTTTCTTCATTGCAAATTTGTCTACCTTATCGATGAGATTTGATTCTAAGTATATAGCGAGTCTCACTTGGGAGCGGTTTGCCGGCACGGCAGTCCTGAACCTTGTGCTGGTAATAAGCATGGTATGGGTCTCCTGGGTTCAGGAAGTTGAACTTGGGGTTGTTCTGCTCGTTGATGCGAATACGAGACTCGAACTCCACTCCATTGCGGGCCACAAAACTGGCAGTCTTGTCCACAATGTCTGATGGTCATGTGCATAAGGAATCTTTTACCTGCAAGCTCAATGTTGTATACAAATAATGAGAATACAAATATATTCTAGTAAAAAAATATCCATGGTTCAAAGTTAAAAATGATAATGATACCTACTTGCTAACTCTACCTACCACACAAACTCAAAACGAATTCACAGCTCTCATGGCTGAAACAACAATTTTATTAACAAAGTAATAAAAAGCAGTGCCTTAAAAATTTTATTAACTGACAAAACTACAATGTGTAAGTAAATTAGGTAGGCTCAAAGCCTTATTATATCAATTTTTGTTTTTTCATAAATTCAAACTACTTTGAATGAATTCAAAATTTAACAGTACACAAATTGATTATGAAAACAACAAATTGAATTAACACATATATAGTAAGGTCCATTTTCAATTAGTACACTACCTTTTAGTTACCATTTATTAGAATTTAGCTAGCCACATGGTCAAATATTTAGTGTCTTGTATATTATTATTAGAATTGACCATAGCTTTATACACTTATCTCAAGACTGATGCCTAAATCAACATCACTAATGTATTTTTACACAAATAAAAATTGCAGATATAGATCTTGTCCCTAAGGCATACTATGTCAGGTAACGAATGATGCTCTGAAACCAGTTATGCATCATTGCCCAATCTCAAGTGATTAATGATCATGCCACATTCATTCAAGCCTTGAACTCAAATGTCTAGTGGCATGATACATGGTCACCAGCAGACATAGGTATTATTACTGACACATTAAATGAATAACAAAAAATTGGTTCACAGTTTAGCTCAAATTTAGAAAAGTGCAGACAAATAAAGGATACTCCTCACTTCTGGAGGAGGATAAATGAAGCCAATCACATTTTTCTTCTCATCTGATGGGTTTGGAGCAACAGGCCCCTCAACTGGTGCCATTCTGGAAGGTGTGTTCTAACTTTCCACTGATGGCAGTACCTGAAAATTTTCACGTATGAATACATTTTTCAAGAGCAAACAATATATTAACAAGTAAAAAAAACTACACAAAAATATTTCATCAATTGAATTTAAGGCAACTGTCCAAAGATAGATATAACACCATTATTTAGCACTTCTCTTTTGCATACAATAATATGCATTTAAAAATTACTTTTTAAAGACAACACTTCTGAACAATCCAGTGTCTTGGATGTAATGCATGTACAATGAATTTCTCATTTTATTTTCAAATATTAAAAAAATTGTTTTTCAAAATTTTTAAAGATATAAAAATTTTGTAAACTATCAAAATTATTTATTCTATCAACTGATTCATGCATTGTCTCTGACTTTATGCAATTGCGCACAATTTCAGATCAATTGGACAGGTCAAATTGTGTCATATATGGATTAAGATTTGTAGCAGACAAAATTACTGTCAAATGGGGTAATAATGGATGGGCAGGGTAATAAGGGACAGTCCTCCAACATTTTGTAGAAATGTTGTAGCAGCTAAACTAATAAAAATATTGCAAAACTAAAAATAGTGGCATAAAGTTCAACATTTTTACTATCTATTCAGTATAAAGCAAGTCGAGAAATCATACATTTATTACCTGTGAAAAATCCCTGAAAAAGTGTGAAAATTGAGATTTTGGAAAAGTACCGTCAACCGGGGCAACTCAGGACTGGCGGGGCAACTCGGGACGCACCTCTGACACGTCGTAAAACAGTCATAGTAGGGAAACTAATTGGATGACCCCAGCATGAATCAAAAACACAGCCCAAGTCACCCCAGTTGACGGTAATTAATGTTTATGGTAATATCATATCAATGAAGGAAAAACTAGTAAAAGTCACAGAAAATGTTGTTTATTCTACCTCTACATTGTCTACAATGAAAGAGGAGGACTTCAGAGTACTGTTAGTAATGGATGAGTACGCTCTGCATGGTTCAAATATTTTAAATTAAGTTTTATTCCCAGTGTCCGGAGTAGCCCTGTTCGACAGAGCTACTCGGGACACTCTTTTTTTTTGCTTCTGGAACCTTAGGAATAGCATATGGAATTTTTTTTAAGATGCCATTCGATAGCCCTCGCAAAGAGCTATAAAATGAGCCTAAACTTGTTTATGAAATGTTTCATCCTAAGAAGTTATTAACAAAAAACGCTCAAAACCGTCCCGAGTAGCCCCGGTTGACGGTACCACTGCTAAGGTCAATAGCAGAAAAAATACTTGTCATATTGAAAAATTTTAATTACATAAAAGTTGCACACGGGTGTTGGCTTAAAAACATGATTGACAGAATTTGCATATCTCATTCCAAAAAAAATGGCAGCCATTTCTGCAAAAACGGGGTAATAAGGACATCCCGCATGGGGTAATATGGGACATCCCTAAAATTACATATACAGTAGAACCTTGGTTAGCAAAGGCTCCAGTTAATGAAAAAATCAATCAACAACAAAGAATTTTGATTACACTTACCTCGCTCAGTGAAAAAAATTTCATTCAACAAAAAATTACAGCATCAGTCATCACAAAATTGTGCATAGAATGTCATAGATAGAATTGAGCACTGGGCAACAAAGAATGAAAAGTAGGGTAAACGCGGTATATTCCGACATCATGGGTAATTCCGTCACCTCTCTAGTTTTTCCTTTATATTAAGCTTTGTTTTAGTGGGAAAATATTGAGATCCAAAGAGAGACAATGCACGCTACCCAGTGAGATCATCGAAAAATGTGTCAAATTTGACAGTTGACCTTGCTCTACCAAATAGTGAATAACTATTTGTACAGGAAGAATATTATGGTTTGAGACTTTTAAATACGTCTGTGGATATATTAGGAATCCTTTAAGTATACTTGTATTTGCTGATTTCAAGTGGTAAATAAATTAACAGATGATTAAGTTAAGAGATGGATTTAGACACATGAAAACTAATTCCGTCACAACTTGAATTGGACACACACAGATCGTTCCAAGCTATGTACAAAAATTAAAATTTGCTTAATTAAAAGCTTAATAGTTGTTAATTGAAAGCGTAATTAAGTAGTGTTCAATATTCATTAGTGTTCTAATTCAAAGCTGTGTTGTATTCCAATACAGCTCACACAGTGAACGGAATTCGAACACGTGGATGACGGCATTATGTATCAGTAGAATTTGAAGCGCGGACGGAATATGCATCACCACGTGCCGAATATAGCCACACACAGTGTCGGAATATAGGGATTTGGTAGGTTTGCATTCGAAAGGCTTTTAAATAAATATGGCACTATTTTGTGACATTTCATCGTTGCTGGCGCATAGTACGGTGTTTTGCAAGTCACATAAAGCAAACAGAACTCGAGTAACGCATACGGTTATTTTTTTATAGATTTTATTTCTCGATGCGTCCTTAATATGATTAACTTAATGTGTCGGAATATACCACGTTTACCCTAATTAACATAAACTAAGATTTATTTCCCTCAAAAATATGATGGTTGTCACTAAAATATTCCTTCCTGTTTCAGGTATGTTTTTTACAATTTTTTCTGTTATAGTGAAATCACTTGACTTGATTAAAATTGTGCAAAATTACAAGCCATCCTGTAAGTCTCAGTCAGTGTAAGCTTACAGATACAGAAGAAATGTTACATTGCTGCTGATATGAAGCTTGCAGTGGACAAGGTCATTGTCAATGCTCCATGGCTTGTCCATGGATACAGTAATATCACATTAATAATACGGTAATTAATGAATATGGTAATATCATGTCACCAGTGGTCTACTTATAGTACCGTAATCAAAATTGAACTTGTGGGAGAGTCTAAAAAACTCTCTGCTTTGCCACTATGATTAATTTATTATGTACCATTGTACCACTTCAGAGTCAACTTGTTAAGGTGTCGGAATATGGTGTGTTTACCCTAGTTGTTTTCCACGCTAGACACAGGTGATTTTTGAAATTCACAGGTAAAAATCAGTTTTTTCCTTATTTGACACTGAACAATTTTGAAAAAGGGCATGGCAATGGGTGAAATTGGCTAGATTCCTGCAGCCCACTTACCAGGAAGTTTCTCTATAATTTTTCACTTTCAAATTTCAATTGGATTGTACTAGCCTACCTAGGGTAAACGCGGTATATTCCGACATCATGGGTAATTCCATCACCTCTCTAGTTTTTTCTTTCTATTAAGCTTTGTTTTAGTTCCATGTGTTTGTTGATGGTTGAAATGGTGAGGTCATACATTTGCGCATCAAACTACTGCCAAAACACTAGGTCTTAGCCATCTAGCGGGAAAATATTTAGATTCAAAGAGAGACAATGCACGCTACACAGTGAGATCATCGAAAAATGTGTCAAATTTGACAGTTGACCTTGCTCTACCAAATAGTGAATAACTGTTTGTATAGGAAGAATATTATGGTTTGAGACTTTTAAATACGTCTGTGAATATATT